GTCTTGATCACGTTTTACATCAGTAAAGTTCAACCATTCAGTATCAGATGACGATGTTAGCCATTGAACACTTTCAGCAGAAGGATTCGACTCCCTCACGAGACAAAGTATATTCATACTGCTACCTTCTATGATATCTCCTCGTTCACTTGCCTCGCCTGATATGACCGTTGCAAGTTCTGGTTTAACTGACGACAAAACGTATTATTGATTTGAAAATGGAACTAAACTTTATACCGTTGTAAACTTACAAAAAAGAGGTAAGAAAAATTACAATCCCATTTTTAATTTTTTTTCGGGAATCGTTGAAATATAAGCAGCTACTAATAATATGTGTATAATTATTAATTGTATCTGTATCTGCTACATTCTCCTGCAAACGTAATATAACAAATTAATTAAAGTTGCCATGTATATTAGCAACAATTTGTCAAAATACTAGACACAGAGACAATATACGATTATAAATTTGTCTGGCAACATCAATACGGAACTGCAGAATTTGTGCCTGAGTGACGAGTATAATACTGATGCGACCTTCAATGACCTAGCCTAGTTTACTTTTCACGGCTTATATGACCGCCATAAGTTCTGGTTCAACTGATGGTAATAAATAAAATATATATATATATAGTTCTAGTCCTACCGTAAAACAATTATATATTGTTTATTCATTAATTCAACGGACTTACATTCAACACTGAGAAACACAGCCTTAGAATCATTACGTGTTTCGTTGTTATATAACATATTGGTGGCACGACATGTATACGTGCCTTCATGACGTCTTTCAACATCAAAAAGTACAAGGTCAGCATCACTGCTATTACTCTCCCAGTTATTATTGTCCCATTGTATTGTTGCCGTCGGGTTAGCATCTACTGTACATCTTGCCGTGTATGTATCTCCCTCGATTACTCTACCGTTACTGTTATCATTGATTGAAACAATTGGTCCATCTAGAAAGAATTAACAAAAAATGCTGATTCTAGTACCTGGCGTCGAACATAGTAATTCGGGAAAAATAAAAGTACACAACGTGATATTTCACCAAAGGTGGTTTGCAAAAGTGCGTGGGTCTTAGTCCTTACATAGACGAACTGGTTGGGAGTAATTCTGTGGCTAAAATACATTTTAGTATCAGTGCAGACAGAAATAAAACAAGCATTATAAAAACCCCATTTATTATTGTGCGTACGATTACTCATACCATGCATGTTAGCATTAGCATTACAAAACATGAGTTTGGGCAAGGTGCGCAAAATCCAGCAAATGCAACGACGAATTTCATCACAATTTCACCCGATTCAAAACATGTCTTCCATTATGTAAATAAAAATATAGAAAACAATGGTAGACAGAACATAGAATGGCTCCCATAAACGCCAAAAATGTTACATTCACTTATACACGAACGTGACAGAAAAAATCACAAATAACACTGTAACATTTTCCAATGAGCGATGAAGGTCAATTTATTTGGGATTCGACTCTACTCTATGACTCCCATGAATAACATTTGTGTACAACTCAGGGGTAGCCTGTTTGAACGAATATGAAATTTGTTATAGTATGTTGAAAACACGCGCGACCTTTTGGTCGCACGAACGCCCACAGAGCTTTAGAATGTTCAACGCTATTCGGAGCGCTATCGCGATTTACTACGACATGAGTTTGTAACCAAAACAAACATCGGTGGTCATTCACTAAAAGTTACATGTTTATTGTATTACCAATTGTTTAGGTACAACCACAACGAACTCTTTTTCAAGACACAAACTGATATATCAGAGACTAGTATGAAGTGTCGTTTACCCGAGCAAATGTAATATATTGTTGTTTATGCTGTTCTGTTAGATGGGATGACAATTGCAATAATTACTGTAAATGTAATATTTGTTTATTATTTCAATGATATATTGAATTAAAATATTTCTGACTCAACAGTTGTTTTCTACTGCCCTTGATCCCACCTATGATTTGTTCATGAAATGATGTCGAAATAATAGTCGCCTACAGAATTTAAGCGACTAAGAAAAAATAACTGTCCCCATTTAACATATGATTATAGTATAATAGCTTGTTTACTGTCATTTGTAATTGAAGGGTTAGGTAATATATTGTAATTCCAATGTTTGACTATTTGTCTTCAGACAGACACCAAAACAATGGAATGTCATTAGAATATAATACAAACACATGAACTCTCATAATCTATATCTTACATTCAATGGACAGTTCTATTTTATCTTCACATGCAGTGAGATTCCATAATGACGAAGATATTGTAGTATGTTCAAGTTGACAAACGAACTCAGCACCATTATGTGACCTGTTGAGTGATGTTGTCCACGCACTTATACTGAAGTTGCTGCGATAGTATTCCGTGTCGTCAATATACCATACCAAGTCACCAGGTGCATTGTTCGGTAATCCAATATTGCAAGAGAAATGTACTATTTCACCAGAAATAGCTACTGCATTGTTTGTTGCACATTGCGTCTTCTTATCTATAATTAACATTAAAACAAATTGTCATTCCCAACTATAAACAATCTTGCTACACCAAGAAATTTAGAGCACAGTGAATTACCACTCATATATGAAATCAATCTTAACAATACCATACTTACGAATATTCTCTTAGATCCGTATTGTTAATTCCGTTTGCGGTTCTGTGAAATTACACTGGTGTTTATAAATGCGTATAACTATGTTTTCGTGCACACAAATCAATACTTACCCAACACATACATATATGCATTCGGTGATTGTCCTGAATGTTTACATTCGTAAACACCTTCGTCATCAAATCCAATATCATAAATGTGTAAATCATAATTTAGGTCACCGTCTGCTATGTTGTATTTTCTCACAAATCTATTTTCTATTATCTTGTTTATTGCAATGATTGTATTGTCTTTCTCCCAAAATACAGTGTTACTTCGAGTCTCATCCAGTCTGCATTTCATCTCCGCGGTGTAACTTAACAGAGCAATGGTGTCTACAGGTGGGGTTACTATGATATCGTTACACAGTGTTCGCTCTACTATCAGCAATACTGTGAAAGAGTAAGTTAAAATTCATTATTTTTTTCCATAACAAACAGTTAATATGAGGGCGTATATTTGACATGTGCACACTCGTATAGACATCGCGTATCCACGGTAGTGACCATTTGCGAAACTTTCCCACGCCCGAACATGGCTGCAAAAATACACGATAATTAGCAGCTTAACACATGAAACAATGTACTTCCAATATATGTATGTATACCGTATATCGTCAGAGGTAATGCACCTATAACTTGAGTAACAACTCTGTTGTTCAGGGTTGTATAACATCTAGTGCAAATCGACAACGGCCAATGTCAGTCCAACAGGCACCCTCTACATATATATGCTGATAAAAAGTAGAAATAAGGTTGTGATGTCGGACAATGTCTATCTAATATCAATATAAATATAAATACTGGGGTAGATATACGATAAAACACACAAAGAATATTTTCATATTGGTAAGGCCACTTTCCGTATATAAATAGCTTACATAGTATAGTTGTTAACAACACATTATAATAACAACACCACTGACAGAATTGGTGAATTTGATTGGATTGTTGCTGTCTCAATACGTTGTCTTACCTGGAATGAAAATATTGGTCAAAACATGTTGTTCATACATCGTTACGTTTCAGTAATGGAGTGACGATCACGTTGAATGTACTAATTGTCGATTATTTTGAGTTATTATTGGCATAATCCACCGACTGAATGCCACTAATGAATTGCCCACGCGATGAGTGTTATTCTATCACATGTACGCGTATGGTCTATAGATGGCGCTATTATACTGCTTTCCTTCCAAATTGCTAAACTAATTAAGACATTCAAATTATTTTCGATCACAATATTAAGCAGTCTACACTGACAATGATACCTCTTGATATATTTATGACAAGAGTGTAATATATTTAACTTCTTGCATAATTCAATGGGATATTTGATGATCTTGTCATATTATTTTCGCATGTTTATTCATCAGCAGCGTTCATTACATAATTCGAAATATATATTTTTTTCAATTGTCTTGGTATGCATGCAAAAAATTATTATCAAAAGAACGCATCATCAATTATTAGGAATGCCCCAATACGTTTAATCATGCTCATGTTGCTGGTGAATCTCAAATAGAAGAAAGAATAACGCCATATATCCATGGTTATGATAATATATATAGTTTGTTATTAAACAAATCCAACGAATGTAAGTCCAATAACGTTATCCTACAATAGTAAAATTCAGTTGAATATAGAGATTATAACGTGATATCTAGTTGACATATTCGTTTGCAATAGCGCCAACTACCGATCGCGCTTGATGTAAACATACAGAATGTATAATGTCTTATTTCATAATTATATAAAATATTAGCTGCATTAAGCCAGCAAACTATATGTCTGATGCAAGTGTAGTTAATTTGTGATAGTAAACTTGTGAATGAATTTACAATAGCTTTTGAAAAAAAATGAAAAATATAATATAATTTGATGTAAAACAGCATTGTAAACTATATATATTTATAGTTATTATACATACATTACATTACATTACATTACATTACATTACATTACATTACATTACAATGAATATGCGGTACATATTTATTTATATCGATTTATATAAATAATTTGTGCTTAACTCAAATGATATTACAGTATATATGCTGAGGACTAATGCAACTCAACTGTTTCGCTTTTTAAATTGCAATTTCGTATTTATTCGTGTAAACTAAAGAAAATAGAAAATTGAGGATATTGTCACGAAAATCTGATAGCGGTTCAAGCTCTTTATAAAATAGCAAACCAATCAGGTTGTAAGAATTTAAGGAAAAGTAGTCGAAAAAAAACAATTTCTTTATCTGTAATGACAGAATTATTAAAAATAAAGATTCAATGAAATCGTCATAAAATGAGTAAATCTGATCGAGGGCGATTGAAAGTAGACATGTCATACCGTAATACCGGACAAACAAAGAATTAAAGAAACCAGAGAGTTTTCACGTTTAACACCTTGTTTATTCCGACATTTCAGTTACACCTAGCGCACTTTTTACATGCTAATACACTCGGGTGATCAAGTGACATATAACACCACGCAAACTTCGAAGCAATTTTCTGTAATAAATAATTACATGGACGCACCATAATTTAAACTACTTATCACTATACATCACCTTATA